AGTAACGATATATAAATTGATTTAATAATTTATTTGTGCCATGGTAGGTACATTTGAAAACAATCTTGGCCTAGACTAATAATTTGGTCACCACTGTATGCTTGCAAGGTTAATGTTAATAAGCGTTGTTTATTACGCCATGAAAAAACTCTTTAGATTAGCATTTTCTTTGGGTTTTCACTCATTTATTTATCATCAATTTTACTTATTTGATAAATTTAACTAATAAAGAGCTATAAAAGTTTTTACTGCTTATAAAAAATATTTTCATGAAAGAAACCAGTCTAATCTAATTAAAAAAATTTGCATTTCAATTAGGGCTCTTTTTAAATTTATTTTTGTAATAACTGTGTCTTTAAAAAAGCATAGCAGTTTATTATGCAACTGTTGGTTAATTTCAAGAATGACTTTGTATTTTTCATTATATGATAATGGTTTCTTTTATAAACAATGATAATGGTTTCTTTTATAAAAAACTTTGTGAACTTTGTATACTCAAACTTTTTTTTTTTTTATTTGATCTTAGTTTGCACAAAAATTTTTAACTTTTCTTATCAATGTCTAAAAATAGAGAAAAAAAGAAAGTGGTTAATATTTATGAAACAATTTACTTTTGCAAGAGCCATAAATCGCTCCTGTAAACCACTTTAGGGAAAAGTAAGCGAGAGCCTTGGTGGGAAGCAAGAGCTAGAGCTCTCGCTTCCTGCTGATGTCTGCAACAAGATATACTCTTTTTTGATAATATTAGGGATCTGTCTGATGTTTAAAGGACTTGAGCTATCCCTAAAGATAATTTTTTTTTTTTTAATTTTTCAATTTCAGTATTGCTTTATTATATAGAACACATTTAGAGAATGGGCCAAATCCTGCCTTGTATGGAATACTGCTGCCATATCTGGGGAAGGGGAGGGGAAGAGATCTTCTAATGATGCCCTTTCTATTTTAGACAAGGTGCAAAAACAAGCCTAAACTTTGTAAACATAATTGGACCTGCTATTGCAGCCAACATTATCACATTGTCGTAATGCTGCTTCTCTTTCTCTTTTCTACAGATACTATAATGGGCACTGCTCTTAAGAGCTAGCATTTCTTGTGCCATCTACTAAAATTTATTCTCGTGTTACTCGTAACTCAATTAAGTCTCGTCCTTTTTCTGTGATTGTTCCTAAATGCTCCAAAAACTCTTACTCCTTAAACATCAATTCATTGGAATTCACTTCCTTCATCTTGCATTCCTGATTCATACAATTTGTAATCTTTTGAGTCGTCAGTCAATCATTATCTTGCTTTATGTTGTAAGTGAAGGGTACACAAAGAAATAATACACTTTTTTATCTTTTTATCAACTAAACAATAAGAAATATTAATAAAACAATGACAATAATAATAATCTTCAATACTATTACAATCACCCTGACATCTTTAAAATATCAAGTAGTTGATTATTTAAAGGTCCAAGATTAGATTAGATGTTCTTAATGTGTCTACAGGCGATTCTTGAGTTAGTGGTGCAAGATGGCGAATAGAAACTTTAGATTCATGACCACTGGCATGCTTAATAAGCGCATATTGTGGATTTGCTTCTATCAAAAATACCTCATCTACATCAGATTCATTCTTTGAATTTCTAACATGTCTCTTTAATAACACCTTTCCAGGTTGCGCAAGCCATGATAGGATTGAGTATCCCGTAGCAGAGCGTCTTTGAATCTGGAGTCTCTCATGAGGAGTTTCATTAGTAGTAGTGTTGATTAAAGACCAGATAGAATGAAGTACATCAGGCGAGACAACTTCCTAATATTTAATATCAAGGTTTCGTGATTTTAAGGCTAGTTTGATTGTTTTCATGATAATACCATTGTACCGTTTCCCTGAGGGTTATACGGAGTAGTTTGGCAGGTGGCTATACCCTTTTTATGAAGGAAATTTTTGACATCCTCACTCATAAAAAACGATCCTGTCAGAATGGATGTAAGCAGGCATACCAAAAATTGCAAAGAGCTGAGAAAAACAATCAATGGCTGTAGTAGAATCTATGTTAGCACAAGGGAATACAACCAGGAATCGCAAAAATTCATCAATGATGGTGAACATATATATACTACGGTTTGCTGAAGGTATAGGTCCTTTCAAATCGACGTTTAGTCTTTCAAATGACTGAGTAGCTTTAATGAGTTGGGACTTTGGCGGTGTGTAAAAGGACGGTTTGCATTGTTGGCAAACTTGACAGTTGCCAGTAATAGATTTCACATCCTCTACTGAGAACAGTAGGTTGCGGGAACGAACAAAAGCAGTCATTCTGGTGACTACAGGATGACACAAAGAATTATGTAATGACGAAAGAGTAGACAAGCTCATGGCTTAAGAGTACATACGACTAAAAGTATTGGGTAGAATATTGTCTATTCCTTTCCGGTAAATGATGTCAAAGCTCTAACAAAAAAGCTCAAGACGCCAACAATAAATTTTGTTGTTCTTGATCTTACTTTTTGTTATTTTTGTTAAACATAAATGATACAGATTGTTAATCAGTTAAAAGCTTGAAGTGTTTGCCAGTTAGTAGGTGGCGCCAATGTCGGACAGATTCAATAATAGCAGATGCTTCTTTTTTAATTGGGGGGGGGGGGGTGTTTTAGCTCAGATTGATGTAACGAACACGAAAAAAAAGCAACTGGTCTGCCGTTTTGATTAAGTTTCCCGACAATTACAGTATCGGAAGCATCAGTTTCTAACTCAAATGATTCATTTTCATTAATAGAACACAAAACAGAACATTCAATATCATTCTTAAGCGTAATAAATGATTCAATACATGAAGAGTCTAAAGGAAAAGATTTAACTTTAACTAACGGGGCAATCTTTTTAGAGAAATGAGGTATCCAGCATGAATAGTATGAAAATAAGCCAGCTTGAATGATACAAAAATGTTCGCTTAAGCGATTTTGTATCAACAGGTACAGGTAATTCTCGAAGTGGTCGGAGTCGTTCAGTGTCTGGCTTGATTTGTTGATGACTGACTTCATAACCAAGAAGATTCAGAGATGTGGTAGAGAAAACACACTTTTCATTGTTGTAAGTTAAGTTCTTCCATTTAGCAGCTAATAGGAAGCGCTTTAAGTTGTAGTCATGTTCTACTTGTGTCATACTACAGATTGTCAAATTATCAAGATAAGCAAAAGTATCTTTCAATTTCTCTTTGGCAATAAAATTATCCATTGTTCTTTGGAACTGTGCCACTCCATTTGTTACACCAAATGGCACATGAGTAAACTGATGTAAGCCACTGTCGGCGTCAAATGCAGTATATAAGCGATCTTCTTGTTTAATTGGGACCTGGTGATAGGCTGACTTTAAATCAATGGTACTAAAGTAACGATACTGGGATATTTTATTTACAAGTTCATCCATTTGTAGTAGAGGGTAGGCGTTAAGACATGTAATCGATTGATAGTTTGGCTATAATCTATAACTAGGCGCTTTTTCAATCTTTCATTTCTTGTCACAACAACTTGTGATCACCAGGGTGACGTTGAAGGTTCAATAATTCCTTCTTTGTACAGGCGCTGTACTTCTGAGGTAATAAAGTTTCTGTTTTGGGCACTGTAATGGCGGGATTTCGAAGTTATAGGTTTGCAATCCGGTGTAAGGTTTTCAAACAGGTTGAGAGGTTCTACATTTAATGTAGCAAGTCCAACTACAAGACGGTCTCTTACTCCCCCATGTATATATATATATATATATATATATATATATATATATATATATATATATATATATATATATATATATATATATATATATATATATATATATATATATATAAAACAATAAACGCGTGTTTAGATTAGCCCTGTGACATCATACTGAAATAGCCTACTGCCGCAAAAGATTTGATAAAGTATTTTGTAAAAAAAGTTTATAAAATACTTTATCTAATCAAACCCATATTTAAAGTAAAATATTCAAACTATCTAGTATATATATTTATTTACTGATGATTGTTTGAAATAAAGAAGTGAGGTACAAACACTAATTAAACAATAACTTGCAAACTTAAAAGGCAATTTCTGTTGTTTGTTGCTGTTGCTGTAGAAGATTATGTATACTGTGTATTATAACTGAAATCAGTCAGTAAGAAAATAAAGTTGAGTTCTTCCACCCAAAAGGTCCATCTGCATTTTTAACAGGCCTCAGAGACAACAATTCTGCAATTTTTGAGTTTAATTTTATTTTTGATCAAGTTTATAATATGATTGTGATATCTATTTATATCTATAACAACTCAAAACTTTTGGAAGAAATTTTATATACAATATTTTTATCAATAGTTAAAATAGGTAACAAAAAAAAATTAGGTAATTTGTTGTAGAATTACCACAGGCAATATTGAATATGATTTTTATCAGTGACTTAAGGGGGCTCATAGTGGCTGGTGAATTTAAGCTCAAATAAAATACGATCAACCGCTATTGAAATAATCTTAATAACTTTCTATTATTATTAACTTTTTTTCAATATAGTAATCGAACCTCCAATTTAATAACTTCTTGGAGTATTTTCCCTTGCTGACCTTTATTAAAAATCATATATTTAATGCATTTCAAAACCATCTAAATCTATATATATATATATATATATATATATATATATATATATATATATATATATATATATATATATATATATATATATATATATATATATATATATATATATATATATATATATATATATATATATATATATATATATATATATATATATATATATATATATATATATATATATATAAATATATACATGTATTTTTATTTCTGATAACCACTTTCTCATCCTCCTCATTTTCTTTAATATTTACTGATTCGATAGTGACTGTCACCCTTTTTGGAAGTGAAATTGTTTTTAAAAAATTGTAAATGATTATTGAATATTTAACTTGGCATTATTACAACAGCATGTACCAAAACCAATTTTAAATACAATCTTAAAAACAAGCTTACCTTGAGGATTAGGATATTCATATAATGTTTCTATTTCAACCTGAGGTTGCTTTGATCCTAATGGCTCCATGTGTCCTGGATACATACTAGGATTTTCTAGAAAAGAGTCTACTTCTACCTCCGATGAATCATATCCAAACAAAATCTCAAAAACAATTAGCAAGGGAAAAACTTTCATGGCATTAAAAGTGCTCTAAATATAAATATAAATATATATATATATATATATATATATATATATATATATATATATATATATATATATATATATATATATATATATATATATATATATATATATATATATATATATATATATATATATATATATATATATATATATATATATATATATATATATATATATATATATATATATACTTTTTTAATTAACTTTAAATTTATAACCATGTCACAACAAAAAATAATGAGCACTTTCACTATTAATATATCAATTTCACTTGTCTGGTTCAACGTCTCGACGACTTTTATTGCGACGTCGCACGCGTTTTATACCTGATTTACAGCACGTTTATACTTCAAAATACAGCACGTTTATACTTCAAAATCCAACAGTCGAGGGAACTTTAATAAATTTTTATACTTTTCTACGTTTTTTTTTTAAAAACTTGTTTTCATTTACCAAAAAATACGTAAGTGTCGTAATAAAATTTTGCTTTGTCGAAGAATAGGCAGCTTAAAGAGGGGCTCTTAAAAAATCGCCACGGAGAACGTCTAAGTTTACTTAAAAAAAAATTAATTGTTTAAGAAACTGTTTTTTGAAAACAACATTGTGCTATGAAGTCGTCTAATAAAATAGGACACATTCTAGTAGAGGAAGGGGTTAGTGGTTTTGTGACGACTCGTACGGGACTTGTTAACTAAGAGTTACGACGTTGTGACGAGGGGGGGGGAGTGAAACGATCAATGATTGCGTGACGTAGTTTATGGAGCCTCATACTGAATCACAAGTCATAAAAGTTAGGTTTAGAAGCTGAATTGTCAAACTTCATTAAAATTAATTTAAAAAATATGTCATCATTTTAAACATTTTTCCGCTTTTGAAAAAACCTTTAAAAAATATGAGTGTTGAAAATTTAAGTATAAATCAAGGACCACGGCCGACGACACAGGTTTCGAAGTGGAGGGGCACAATCGTCAATTTCTAAAAAAAGTCCTCTATTTCTAGAATTTTCTATTAAAAAAAGCTCCCTCCTCGTGTCTTCGGCCCCAAGGACGATGCAGCAATGATTTTCGTCAAGGACTATGCGCCAATCTAATTTTTGTCAAATTTAGTGAGGACTTCTTAACAGTAATGCATTAAATATAAAAAATGATTAAGAAATTCATGAGTGACTTTTTAATATTTTGTTTGAGTTAAGTTTTGTTTAAATTGGCTAAATTTATTACTTGAGCGGTCAAAACATTGTAAAAAAAAAGGGGGCGCCAGGTAACAAAAATAAAAAATTTGAAAACCTGCACTAGACAAAGCAGGTGCTAAAAAACAGAATCAAAAGCGTGTCAGTCTTCTGACAAAGCAACTGTCTAATAGAATCTATCTTTTAGCACTAGCTTATAGCTTTATGACTGCATTAATAATGCTGACTATTTCCGCAACATTTTATTACAGAGTTTGACATAATACAGAACGTAAAACTAAAGTTTTACGCTCTGTGTAATGTCAACTATCAAAACAGCCAAAAAGTCAGAATTGCTCGTGATTGTTTCCCAACACAGATCCGTAATTTTTGCTTTATGTTATTATTTTGGTATGTAACTTTAGACAAATTATTAACACTGAAAATATTTTGCTTCACGAGATATGAGTCTACAAAAAATCAATAAAAGCTTACAATGTTGAACTTTTGATTCCAATCAGGGAACTATTAACTAAAATGTAGACGTGATATAAAACCTGTAATAATTTTTTTGTAATATACATCGTGGTTTACTCAGAGACCTTATTTTTAAGATATTTTAGCGTTTTAATTACTAAAAAATACGCTCAGAATGTAATTTTTAGCAAAAGAATTATATCAAAATTTGAGTACAAATCTCCTATAAAATCTGAAATGATAAATATTAAAACGATTAAAAGATTAAAATTTGACTATCTTCATGACACATGTTTATCAGTGTATCTTGTTGTTCTTTATGGAAAGGTTTTCTTTTTATCAAAATTTGAGATTGTTGCATAGGGACCTCTGGACTTCTTGGCGTGGAATGACCAAACATTGAATCAGGTCTAATTGGAAATCAAAATCAAATTTAAAAACCAAGTTTAAACTAAACAAAAAGCAGGTTAAAGCAGAAAATGAACTTGTAAAATAAAAGAACATGCAATTGCAGTGCTCAAGGATTATGTAATAATGTAAATAACTATTCCAGAAAAAGCAAATAACTTTAAAAACTAAAACTATTGTTTAACATTTACAACAAAGCTGGTAACTAGGATAAGTATTAAAACGCTCATAGTTGTTGGAAATGTAAAAAGCCTTCAAAGGTTTGTTTCTTCGACGCATTAATATTAAAAAATATACAAAAAAAAACTTCGATGTCTATTTAAAAAAGTAAACAAAGGTTATTTAGCAAAAAGCATTGTAACTATAATATAAAAAATAAATATTTATGATGCTAATGTGATACATTGCATATAATCTCACAATTTTTCTAAAATATATAATGTATATTTGAAAGATATTTAATGGCTTTTAAAGAAGCCTATTGTTTTTAACTGTTTTGTTCGTGAGTCTGCGATTAGATTTATATAAATAATGTAATATGTTAAAAGTTGTGTCAAAGTTAATTATTTTTTTTTAATTAATAAATTAGTGTTTATGGTAATGCTTTAATATAATAAATAATATATTATAATATTTAATGATATAATCTTATTTAAAAAATTAATGAAAATTTTAGTCAGGCTAAATTTTTGGTTGAACAAAACTTTACTTGCTTGATTTTATTTAGTGTTTTATTAAACACCCACTGTAATCATGTTTACAAGATAAATAAATGTAATCATATTTAATATACTCTGATAAGAACTTTTTATTTTCTCTGAAAAAAATTTAGTCATTCTGTCTGACATTATTTGTCCGATAAGGGCCATAATTGCTAAAAATGAACAGCTTCCTACTTATTTTAATAAATGGTCTAAAAGGTCTTTAATAAAAGGTCTAAAAGGTATTTAATAAATAAGGTCTAAAAATAAGGTCTCTAAGTTAGCTGAAGTTACGTCAGATCTGTTAAGTTTGATACTTATTTGAAAATTTTAGAAAAAATCATAGGTATATTGGATATTAATAAGTGCAATATGTTTTACACGGTCTAAAAAAGTGCACCCTACTCAAAAAGTCCTACGAAAATCGAAATATAAAATAAAAGATTCAAGACCCATTAAATAGTTTTTATTTAATGGGTGTTAAACAAGTTAAATAAAAGTTTTAAGCGACCAAATTTTTTTTCTTTCCAAAATCTTTTTAATGAAAGATATTTGGATTTCAGCAGGTTTTGATGAAATGTGAGTAAATGATGTAAAATCAGTTTTAAATTTTGATCTTTGAACTCTTTTTATAAAGAGATCAAATATCAAAAAATTGATGCTCGATGTACTATCTAATCAATGTGTTGCTCAAGATCAATTAAAAATTGGCCAAGTCACACTTTTAAAGTATTTTATGACAGGCTTAACAGTTAAAGTAAAGATAAACAGTATATTGAACGATAAACAACTTAGATTTAAAAATAAACCACAAGCTTGTTACTTACGTAACTTTGCGTATTGTGAATTTAATGTCTTTAAATGAAGAATGTTTTAAATTAGATTTTTTCATTAGTTTTTTTTAAGCTTTTGACAATGTGAATTGTGTCATTCTTTTTAAAAAAGCTGAATAGTATAAAACTAAAAAAAAAAAAAACTTACTATTCTCGATGGATTTAAATTAAAAAAAAATAAATTCACATTCAACTGAGTTAGAACTAAAAAAATCCTTGTTTACTTGTAAGGGTTTCCTTAAAATAAAAATTAAGACTAAATTTTTGCCTTATGCAAATGATTTATCTTTAACTTTACAAAACAAATAAATTTATTTTATTTGCAGATGATTTAAACTTGTGTTATTCTTATAAAGGTATCAAATAGTTGTTAACAAAGCGTTAAACAAAGTGAGTCAAAGCTTACACTCAAACCAATCGTGAATATCGGCCGTTTTTTCTGATGTAAATTCAACGTTGATCCAATACCAACTACTTCTGATCAATAAATGCAACGTTAAGCCAGCTTAAAGCCCAACGCTAGTTTTTAAATGTGAACGACGTCGTATTTGTAACCAAAATAATATAAAAACAACGTTGGCGATAAAACTACATTCAAAATAATAATACATACTTCTTAATTTTTCAATGTACAAAGTACATTCTAACACTTAATGCAATGTCTGTACACTTTCTCTATGCCTTCTTTCTCGACTACTTCAGACTTTTAATTAGTTGGAGGATGATAAACCACAATACCTCTTATGGCTGCAGGTAATAAGATTACCGATTATTTTATAATCAGTACTTTTTCCTAAGTTAATTCTTTTTTTGCACTAGTCAAATGTTGTACGTTTAGGTTAAAATTTGATTACTTCGAAAATTTTAATAACTAAAATTTTAAAAATTAAAATTTTGTCAAAATAAATTTTGACAAATAAATTTTGAAAAATAAATTTATAATTTATAAATTTATATTTATAATTTATAATTTATAATTAAATTCTTTATATTTATTTAAGAGCGACTTTCTGTCAGAATCAGACAGAGCTCAATAGTGACCCTCTTCAAAATTGCGAATTTTTCAATATGTTGTTGCTAATTATATTGGAAGCTAAAATTAAGGTTTTCCATTTTCTGGCAAGTCCTGTATTATATTTTGTGCACTTAAATGTGTTGCATAAAAATTGCTTTGTGTATTTATTATGGTCAATAAATACCAAAATTACAAGTTGACTTGTAGCACCACTGTTTATATACATTTCTACAAGTTTTTCAATATCATCTGGAATTTCTGTTTCGGCATTTTCATCACCTTCAAGGTCTTATAAAAACTCTTTTAATTCAGGCGCAATAGATTCTGCAATATCAGGCGCAATAGATTCTGCAATTTTTTTTCTGAACATTTTTTCCATACCTTTACATTTCTTTCGCATTTGTTGCTTTGTGGATTCATTGATAAGTTCAAGTTTTTTTTTAAACTGGAATTTATTAGGACTGGTCCCAAGACAAGCTGTGACTTTCTTTGATTTCATTTGAAGTATTAAGTTCTTCTCGATTTTTTTAAAAACTCATCTGGTATAAAATCAATATCAGTAGTTGTTAATGTAGATTCGTGTTCAGCTTTTATTTTTGTTTCTTTTCTCCTTGTCTCGGAATAGTATTCTTTTCGACGACGATTGCATATAATTGAACCAATTTGAATTTATGAATTATAATGGGAAGATATTTGAAGTGTCATAGATATTATACGGGTCGCCCTAATAATGCTTTTTTCCCTGTTTGTACTTTGTGATTAGGGTGCATACATTTTTTTCCTCTGTTTCTATCCTATTCTTAATGTGTAGTGATGATATACACATATTTTCTCTGTATTGTTAAAGTTTCTGTTTAAACAATTTTGAATTAGAGATTTCCAATCACCAGCTCTTTAAGACCTTAACATATAATATAAAATAGAGTAACAAGAAAACATACTGAATTCAAGCGATTATAAATAAATATAGAAGCACCAAGAAAATATCTATAAAATTTCGTTTTTGAGTTCGATTTTGTGGCAAAGCCTTTGCTTCCCCATGTAAAGGTGTTTTTATACTTTTAGGTACTTAACTAGATAAAGACTTATAATAACAAAAAAAAACTGTGGAACGAAGTGAAAACGAAGATCACGAATAACAAAAAAATCTTTTGAGTATTTTGAAGCATGATATTCAAAAAAAAATTTCCTTTACTAATTTTATTAATTTATGGTCTGAACTAGCCAATAAACAATAATCAAGTGGAATACTTGTCGTAAATTATTTACTTTTCTTTTTTTTTTTGAGTTCAAAAATGTCTTCGGACTCCATTTGGTCAATATTTCTAAAAGTTTAGTTAATTTTTATCATCTACTATCTAGAGAACCAATTATTATTATTTTTTTTAATTTTGGAATTAAGTTCATAGTATGAATAGCAACAACATATTAAAAAATAAGCGATTTTGAAAGAGGTAACTCCAAAAATTTAGTGTTTTTGGCTGATTCTTACAGAAAGTCGCTCTTAAACTTTTATAGAGAAAATAAGGCTCAACAATTTAAAGTTCTACCTACCAGCACATCTTAAACTGCTAAACATAATTACAGGCTTGTCAGGCATGGAGGAAAGTACTCTTGTTTGTATTGTGGTGGTGAAAAGTCAAATCTAAGAGAACTAAGAACTTTCAAAAAATTAAAGTTGATGTATGGAAACTTTGCTGAAAATGGATCTAAGAAACTTTTTATGCAAATACACAAAAATGTTACACATCCATGTCTTTTTGATGTAGCTGGAGATAAGGTTATACTTGATGTATTCCTCCACCAGAACATCATTTGATGATGAAAATTTTGACAGTGATCTCAAATATGTTATGTAAAGAGCCTGATATTGCTTCTGGCTAAGTAATCTTGGGATAATTTGTCATGGATATAATGGAGGTGGTTTGGATGGTAGAAATGCTAAAAAAAATTTAGAATTTTTTTTTAGATTTAGAAGAACATATTTTTGACCATTTTCCTTTATATCACCCAGTTGTTGAACTGTTAAAAACGTTTTCTGCAGGTAAATTAAATATTTATATTTATATTAGATAATTGTAATCAGTTAACCTTTATGTCGCTTGTAATCAATTGAATGTTGAGTACATAGCAATTGCAACATATCTTACACTTTTCAATTAATTGAGCTACCTCTTTTAAGTTAATCTATAATACCGTGTTCTGCAGACACAAGTCAAATGTAGTACGTTTAGGTTAAAAATTTGATTACTTTAAAAATTTTAATTGCATGGTATTAACGGCTAATAAATAGATTTATCTACGAAAAGAACAAATTGTTTGGTGTACATCTTGACGAGAAAATTAACTTTTAGGAAAAGGGGCAAATGTGTCCCCCTCCCTTAAATTTTTTCTAATATTTTATGGGAATATTGTAATATTATAATACTTCTTCAAATAATATTTTGGTGTTTACATAATATATAAAGTAAATTCTTATTTAATATCAATAATTTTATTCGATTGGCTAGTTTTTAACAATGAAACGTAAACTTATTAATGTAAATTTATAATGTTTGATTGTAAATTTCAAACTTTTATTTCTAAATTAAAAGAAAAAAGTAATAATTATAGTAATAATAATAATAATGATAATAATAGTAACAATAATAATAATAACAATAATAACAGCAATAGTATTAATATTAAGTGACAATAAGTCCTAGTGACAATGAGTTCACTCCCTCTCTGAGTGACAATAAGTTAATAAAATATAATTTTTTATCATTTTATAATTTTTTATAATTTTAATTATAACAAACTTAAAATTATCGAATATTTTTTAATTTTGTATAATAATCTTTTAGAAGTCGAAAAGCATGGGCATAAAAATTTACAACCTTCAATTTATTTCCTTCAAAGTCCTCCTTCAAAATTTGAGAATTTAAAAAGTTCAGACTAGTATGTAAACAATACAACAACTGTCAAAATTTAGTTAATTATCTTTTAGTGAGATTTTGAATATTGTTTAAGTATAATGCATGCAAAATGAAGGATATGTTTCATATACAAACATAATTCCCTGGAGTAAAACCAGTGGGCACAGTACGTTCGTTAGACGTCCTACTGGTTTTTACATGACGCTGTATAGACATTGTTATATACAAACATAATTCACTGAAATATTACCAGTGAGCACAATACATCTTAGGTACGTTTTAGGTACGTTTGTGTAGACGTAACATAGTTTAATTACGTCGATTAACTACATAGTACAGCTACTTAACGGAATAACATTATTTCAATTGCTAGTTATTTTCCAACCGGGGAGGTTTCTAGGTGATTTTCTATTATGTAGCTAGTCTATATAGTCGTTTATTCTACTTAAATTTTTTAAATATAATTTATAAAAAACGTCTCTATATAATTGTCTTTTTTTAATTTTAATTGTAATTATTTTTTAATTTTAATTGTAATTTTATTTTTTTTAATAATTTTGATTGAAAGAGTAATTTTAATTAAAATTTAAAGGTTAAACTCAATAATTAAAAAAAATTATTACAGATTAAACTTGTAGGAATGTATAAAGTAACCTTTGAAATTTAGTTGTATATGAAAGTACTCCAACCATGGGGCACACTAAAAGTTATTAAACTCAATAAAAAGGTCTTTTGCTGAAAGACGACTAAATTATAATTATAACCTAATGAGAGCATCAAGCGGTTCATAACGCATTTTAAATATTGTTGCAATAAAAACTATATATAAAACTGCATACGTTTCTGTCGGTACTCTTTTTATATTTAGCGTCTGAGTAATTTTAGGAGCTTTAATTTTAAGATTATTTTTATATTAATTAATTTGCAGACTTAACTGTAACTGAGTACTTAACTGTAATTAGACCCTAACTTGACTACTTAATTTTAAGATTATTTTTATATTAATTTGCAGACAATTTTTATTACTCAGATGTATTAACTATGCTCTACTATAATTAACTTGTTAATTGTTCTAGATATAATTTAGACTGAATAATTAGGACATAATATTATTTGAACTCAAACGTAAAACTCCTTGTTTTTCCTTTTCTTTTTTCAAAGTGTAATATGTATGTTCAAAACTTTAACTGGCTGTAAAACTATAACGTATTACTAAAACGTTTTTTTTTTTCTCGGAGTTTCAGATTTAATATTAAATCTGAATCTAAATCGGCAAAAAAAAAATTAAAATATATGTCTTAAAAAATTAAAATATATGTCTTAAAAAAATTAAAATATATGTCTTAAAAAAATTAAAATATATGTCTTAAAAAAATTAAAATATATGTCTTAAAAAAATTAAAATATATGTCTTAAAAAAATTAAAATATATGTCTTAAAAAAATTAAAATATATGTCTTAAAAAAATTAAAATATATGTCTTAAAAAAATTAAAATATATGTCTTAAAAAAATTAAAATATATGTCTTAAAAAAATTAAAATATATGTCTTAAAAAAATTAAAATATATGTCTTAAAAAAATTAAAATATATGTCTTAAAAAAATTAAAATATATGTCTTAAAAAAATTAAAATATATGTCTTAAAAAAATTAAAATATATGTCTTAATTTTTTTCAGTTAAGGTTGTAGACTGCTAAGAAAGTTAAAAAAAATCGATTTTTTTAAGAGACGCATTATCTTAAACAGTAACTGTTGCAGTTGAAGTCTAAATATATATATATCTTCTTATGAGAAAAAGAACTTTAAGAACTTATAAAAGAGATTTATTTTAGCAGGGTAATTTTGTTTCCCCTAGCAACGCTCATAGCAACGACTAGTTAAAGACAGAAATTAAAAAAAGTTTAAAAAACAAAAAAAAAATCTTCGAGAAGCTTGGAAAAGGTTCGATGATAAATACAATGATGGAGAGGAACAGTATATAAACAAGGGGATTTTAACCTGTTTTTATAAGTTTGTATATTCAATATTTTAAATTTTATATGCATTTTTTTTCTGCTTTATACTTCTAATTTTCTGGCAAAGATTGCAAGAGCTTTAATTGTCCAATCGACTTCAAATTTTCTACAGAGATTCATTACAATAAGCTTTATGTCCTGAGATTAAAAAAAATTAAGAAAACAAATTTAAAAAAAAAACAAATTTTTGGTTTATTATATCAAAAATTTGATTTTTAATATGGCGCATTGAAAAATCTTGACATGCTTTAAAATAAAGAAATTTTCAGCAAAATTTTTTATCTTAGGACGTTTATTTACATAAAAAGAATAAAATTGCAAAAAATTAGAGCTTAATACATTATACTTTTTGAGATATTATTTGCCAAGATTTTAGCAGATTTTACGCCTAAAACCACCAGTTTTTGCCCAAAAATTACGACGGGAAAAAAAAATAATCAAAAATTACATTTTTTAAAATGTAATTATAATATTTGTAAAAATTAAAAAATCAATTGAAATATTTTTAGATACAAAAATAATTTTTTTAGCAGTCTACCATCTTAAAGCATAATTTGTATTTTTTACTATCTATTACTAATAAATTTTTTTTTTTTAGCACTAATATACACAAAATCATAATATTTTTTAAATTACATGCTTTATTGATTTTAGAAGGCAATTTATTTATTTTAAGAAAAAAAAAAATGCCCTCATTTTTACGTATACATTATAAATATCCTAATTTTAATGTATTATAAGCCAAAAGGAATTTTATATGATCGTGCATCTAAATAATAAAAAAAACAATTGTTTTCAACAATTTTTTTTTAATTTAGTTATACAGATGCTTTGTCATCTTCTTTATAATTTATGCTAAATAAGTTTGCTAGATAGTCCAAATAGTTTAGGTGTTGTTTTTTCTCTTCAAAATCTTCGGCATTTTCATTTATTTCTTCGTCTTCAGACATGTCAATAAGGTTTGAAAGTTCTTTTTCAACTTGAGCAAACTTTGGATTTTTGTTCTTTTGTAGCCAGGCGATATTTTGAGCTTTGTTGTTCTAAAATAAAATATAAACGATGTAAAAAGTTACAGTTTTTAATATATGATTGTAACATAAAGTTAATTTTTTATTCAATTTAATTCAACACATTTTCGCAGAAACGAATTTTTTTAATTTATTTTTTCGTTGCCTAGCTATTATTATGCTAATTTTTTTATTTTATTTTTTCGTTGTCTAGCTATTAATATGCTAACTATTTTATGACGCATGCTAACTTTTATTTAGTTATTACTTAGTTTTATTTATTTTGTTATTATTTTAAATATTGTGTAAATTATTAGAATCACGTGGTAGTTACACAGTTACTTTATAATTTTATTTTATTAGTTACCAAGGTGTTGCAAGAAGACCTTATCACAGAACACTGCGGAATAGCATTTAATCAGGAAGTTCCCGCCTCTTTCCTGGCAATGTTGTTAAGAGCCAGGATCGAACCTTAAACTCTTGGTTCTGAGCCAGAACTCTAACCATCTCGCCTGCTCACCTTACCACGACTGTTTAAAACCTTTAATTAACAAGATTACAGTTACGCTGAATTAAACGCTAATTATTTATTTAGAAAGTAATAAAAAGTAGAACTATTTAAAAGTAGAATTATTTATTAACTATTTTACTATTTAAATCATTGCTAAAATAATTTCAGAACTTAAATTTATTTTTTTACTTTTCAATCAAATTTGAGTAAATTAAATAAATTTACAGAATATAGAAAAGTACGAACCTGAATAGATTTCTTGCATCCTCGCCATCTTAAACCACATGTTTCTTGAGAAGACGCATAAGAACTGTAAAATACTGTAACAGTACTTAACACAAGAAAAACTAGACAAATATAAGAACTCATAGTTGATTTTAAACTAATTTTTTTTAACTCGATGAATTATTGCCCTGCGTCGAGTTAGTGATTTATTCGTCCTAATTTTTGGATATTTAACGACTTCTATAAATGGGCGGACATGGAAATTTTACTCGAGCACCTTCTGAAATAAATTAATTAGTTACTCAAACTAAGTTAATATTTCCTTGAATAATATTGTGTTTAAATATTTAAACTGTTTATTACTAATCAAGCGTGTGAATTATTTGATGCTTGAGAAAAAAGGCATCCGTGCTGTATCTCTTTTATATATGTATATAGTATTATATATACATATATAAAAAAAAAGTTAAAGAGTACCAACAGATGGTAACACTTACAGATGGTAACACTTACGTAATTGTAAAGCAAAAAAAAACTAAATTGGTTTATCTTCTGAAAAAAATGAATGTTTGCTTCAAGTCAACAAAACTGTTTTTTAGCTTTGTATTGGGTTATTAAACCAGATGATCTCGACCAGATGGTTCAATTGGTAAAGTCACTACCCCCTCTACCCACTCCAAAGAAAAAGTTCATCAAATTGGTATGACACTTTCAGCAAAAATCTTTTTTCTGAAAAAGATTACGGTAACGAAAATAAATCAATGACAATAAAATATGAATTTCAAAGTAGCAAATTTTTTTATATTCAAGTTCTGCAAAAATTTACTAAATAATTTATGAGTTTTCATTAGCATATGTTTTTTTTAAACTTTATTAACTACCGATACCGGTTGACTAATTTGTACATCCAGATTAGTTGTGTAGGTATTAAAACGTGAGTTAAAGTTGTTAAAATGTCGACTACCAAGTGATAGCTTATACAAAAATAGAGTTAACCAAATAAATAGAAAAGCAAATGCTTGAATTTTTTTTTCTCTAACAAACTTTTTTTTTAAATTTGAAATATAACCTATGTATATTGTATAATGTATAAAATGTAAATTTAAAATGCATAAATATAATAATTATTGTTGGTAAGGTTTTCATTTTTTTGTTTTTTTGTTTTTTGTTTTATTCTTTTAACTTTGTTGAGCTATACAAAAAATAAGTAAAATCGAAAGTTTTAAGAAATGCGCGCTATTTTTTAAATTAAAAAATGTATAGGTTTTGTTTCTTTTTTACCTAATATAAATATTTATAGTTAAATATAAAGTCTCTCGATACACAGGTATTGTCTAACTAACACAAAGGTATTGTCCGTATATTAAAATAATGTCGCCGATATAGTATGCAGGTGTTGTTTATATAGTACGCAGGTGTCGTGCAACATAAACAGCACCGCGTCACATATTATTAATGAAATATATTTATTAATTATTATTTACAATATAAAGTTTGTTTACTGATTTCGAATCTTATTTCTTAATTTCTATTATCTTCAAAACAAAAACTTATAATAAAATAAATGAAAAACGTGACATTTGTAATTTCGTTCACGCGCTATATTTAAAGCGCACGTAGTCTACGCAATACTTTAAATTAATATGCGCTAATCGAAGTGCCAAATAAATTTCAAAGACATTGTAGTTAATATAAAAATATACCTTAATACTACGTTTAAACAAAACAAAAACATTTAGTTTAATTGTTATAATGCCTCATTGTAATAATATATTTTTTCTTTACCACCCAGTAAATGAAACTACAAGTAATATACATAACGGTAAAGTTACTTTATAAAACTACCAGTAAAACAACACAACTTTCAAAGTTGTTAGCCTTAAGTATAGGGTTCGCATTTTTTGGATTTCCCCCGGAGATTCTTAGATTTCCCCCGGAGATCTCCGGATTTTAAGACAAAAATTAAAGCTCGGGGGATTTCAGAAAAAAATATGAAATCTCCTTTTTTTTACGGTTCTATATAATTTTTATAAAAATTTTAAAAATTTTATATTAAATCTTGGGTATAAATAGAACTAAAAATGTAAAAATTATTAAATGTTTTTAGTCACTTTACCAATTTGAGAATGCTCAAACAACACGCGTTCTCTTCTCTTCATTTCACAATTTTTAAAAATGTGCGCAAAACTTGTCCTGTTGGATCATGTATTTCTGTTTCTCACAAAGATAAACAACCTCCTTTATGTTAATCTTATTTATCTAACGCATCTACAATTATAAATAGGTCAAAGGTTGCGTAACTTTTTACATATTAGTAGTCCCAATACCAAGAGTTAAATGCTTTCAGTTAGATAAGAGTTTCAAGAGTTTCAGTTTGATAAAACTAGACAACCAGTTGGATAAAACTAAACTACTCGGACCAGGTTGAAGACTCAATTTTATTTGTAAACGAAAAATCTCTTTTTTAAGTTAATGAATTAACATGTTATGACCAATTTTCTAGCTTTGTTTAGTTTTTAAAAAGTCACAAAGAAAAATTAAATTACACAACAAGGTAAAACTTTAAAACTTTGGGTCAAGTATTTTAATACCCTGCTAGATTAATCCTGTGGTTCTGAGCTGTAAAATATAGTACAATATTTTTTATTTCATTCTAAGCCAAAACGTCTCTGTAGAGCAATTATTTTTGCTAATTGCTAGCCAACAAACAAAAGAAATAAATAAATTATCCATAAAGCCTGTTGAAAGTATTTTATGTATATTTTAAGTATCAGTCATCCAAATCATAATAATAAGTATCTGTTATCAAACAAAATTCAAAAAAATTCAACAGAAAAAGTATTGTTAGTTGATTCATCTTCTTTTGTATTTCTTCGTTTGTATTTCTTACTCTGTTCCCACAAATGGTTGGTCAATGAATTGTTGAGGATATATTTTGTTCAATGATTGTTCAAAGACCGCAATAAGATTGAATGCAAACGTTTTGTGTACAAGATTAGGTTAATTTTAATCACAAAACCAGCAATTTATATTTAAAAAGCAAATAAAATAAAAAAAAAGGGTTCTTTGCATTTAATTTTCATATAAGGGGTCCACAAAATTCAAATAGTTGTAGCTACTGGAGTAGTTTAGATCTGTAAAAGCAACAGTAAAATAATTTTGTAAACAAAAAAAAAGTAAATATTTGTAAATAATTTCAGAGCCAGATTTATCCTGGTGAAAGCTCATCTACTACGCGGATATTGAATGGCTCTCCCCTGCACACTGGGGTTCTGGGATGTGACCCCCGGAAAATTTTTTTGAGTTTAAAATTTCTGCATTGAGTTTTAGTGCAATTTTGGTTAAAGAAAAGTGGTTTGTAGAAAAGAAAGTGAGTAAAACTTATAGTTGCCTAGACTATAATTTAAAGTCACTTTTACTCAAAGCCCTCAATCAAATTAAATATAACGGAGATATACTGTCAGATGTAGGTAGCAAGACACGCGGACTTTCAGGGTGACTGTTATAGCTTGAGATAAGAGGTATTTACATCGTCTTCTGGAATGAAAGTCAATGCAGCCAGCAAGATGTTACAAAATGCCAAGCTAGATCTAAACTCGGCTATTACAGTAATAAAAATCTCTGAAAACATCTATTAAGTCAAAACAAGATTACTTCAAGAAGTATGAGAAAGAAGGCATCAAGAAATCTGAAACAACTGAATACATTGAGAGAAGTCCCAAAACACTTGATCAACCTCATCACAAAAAGTGTTATTATAGCAAAGATGGCAGTTGTTATCGCCCACCTACTGGCGAAATTAAAACTTTTAGTACATTTTTAAATGATGATGTTATAAATAAAAGCAACTACGAAAAGAAATTAATTTACATATTAGGTGATCTAAATGTAAATTGCTTTGAGTATCACGTCAAAAAAGACATTAATGGATTTTATAAAGGCCTATTTGAAAATGGAGCAGTTCCTCTAATAAACAAACCAACTAGAACTACTCAAACAAAACTTCCTTAATTGATAACATTATAAACAATGATATTTTTAATATTTCGCTTAATAAAGACATTATTAAAAGTGACATATCTGATCATTTACACGTTTTCTTTTCGATAGATATTTTTGTGAAAATTTTATATAATGAAAAAAAAATCATTTAAAAAGCAAAGTTTTCATAATAAAAACCTACCCGGTGGGAAATCGGCTAGCGAATAGCTAGCTATAATCGTTACAATAAAGACAGCGATTTGGCCACGAGGATCGCTAGCTTTTTTAAGTTAGCAAAAAGCTATCGATATTTGTAAAGATAAAGACAGCGATTTGGCTACGAGGACAGCTAGCTTAATAAGCTAAAGACTCAAAGGTTATTGTAGCTACCGTATTATCGTAATAAAATCGCTATCAAAAAAATTTTGGTATGTAGCTATCAACCAGTTATAGATTTGTAGATATTTTGTAGCTAGCTACAAAGCTACGATATGTAGCTAGCGACACACTGCTAAAAAATCGCAATGTTTTAAGTACAATTATTCTCATAATTATAATAGGTTCAACACTAAAAATCGACTTTTTAAAGATGTTAGAGACATTAGTAAAGAATAAAATAAGAGAAAAAAAATCGCTCGAAAATCGCTATAAAGCCAGCTAGTCGCTCGCTAGTCGCTAGCTCATTTCCCACCGGGTAGAGTCTTTTAAATGTCAACTATCTTTAATTAATTGGGACATTATTAACTTTTCTGAAGACATTAATTTAATATACAAATTTTTTTTTTAATTTTTAATGAAATTTATAACATCAGTTTTCCCAAAGTAGAAGTAAATTATAAATATAAAAAAAATAAATTGCCATGGTTACTAAATGTATTCTATAATCTTCTAAAATTAAAAAAAAAACTTTATATTAAATGTTTAAAATCAAAAACAACTGAGAATAGGACCACTTATAATATTACGTAAGATTATTTGAACGCCAAAGAAAAATGTCTAAAAAAATACTACACTGATTTACTTGAAAAATACAAATCAAACTCGAAACGCACTTGGCAACTAATAAAAAAAATTACTGGTAACACTAAAAAATGTTGCAATTTTTGTCCTCAGTTAATAAAGTGGATGATAATCTTTTTCTTGATAAAATTTTTCTTGAGGCAACATATGACTCTCTAAACTCGTTTTTTTGATTTATCTTTTGAAGAGTTTGAAAGTGCTTTTAAATTGTCAATAGGAATATTATTTTAAGCTGCTTTGACTTTTGAAAAGACACAATTTTCCAAATTTTTAAATGCTCGAATTTATCAGGAAGTTTTTACTGATGATTTAAAAATATGAAAAATTATTGTAAAAATATTATAGTGTAACAGGCAATGTTTTATAATGG